GGCGGGGGCTCGTCCTCGCCGGCGGGATCCGGCAGTGGACTTGGCGGAGGTATCGGAGGTGGCATGGGCAGCTATGCTAGCCGGGATCCCGGGAGGGGTGGCGGAGATGAAGGAGGCAGCACGGGCAACCTGGAGTCTCTGATGGTCAACATGCTGACGGAGAGGGAGAGGCTGCTGGACAACCTGAGGGAGACGCAGGAGAGTCTGGCCACGGCGCAGCTGCGCCTGCGAGAGCTCAGCCATGAGAAGGAGTCTCTTCAGAGGCAACTCTCCATCGCCCTGCCGCAGGTGCGGCGCCACGCCAGCCACACTTTACAAAACGGCCGGGCGCCGGCCATCCAAATCCACGTCGCACTGTAGTAGAAGGCCATTTGCAAACATTTAGTAACACTGACAAACAAGACGTGGGGAAGGTGAAGAGACGGGTGGGCCGTGGGCTTTTCTTTTATTTTTATACACATTTACAGTACCTGTAAATCTACAGTTGATTCATTTATACAGTAACAAGATAAGCTGAGCGCTTATTATGTTGGCATTGACCTGATGACCGGCCTTGTGTCAATGGCACACTCGAATTTTGTCAAGTCAAATCCATTCGTCACTTCACAACTCGATTTTTAGTAGTTGGGGACACATATCGTTTTTTCTAATTAATTCATGGTTCATTGGCCTTTACTTTCGCCAAACAGTTCGGTAAATGAGAGTGAGTGAGAAGTCAAATCCCCCTTGCTCATTTTTGCGATTTACACAAACGGAGTAGCGGATTGATTGTTTGAATTTGCATTTGGAAAAAGAAAAAAAAAGGGGTGAAATAGAAAAAGACAAAAAAGAACCAGGAACGCCATCTGAGAATCTCAGCGTGATCCAATCCAGAAACAATCCGATCGGTCCCGGAGACCCACTGTGTCGCCATCTGCAGCCACCTCTCTTTGGCTCCTTTCTCTTCTCTCATTGAGCCATCGCGTCTGTCCATCTTTGCAAGCACAAAAACATCAGATGTCACACGTAATGCATTGCTTTTTGGTTTGGGCCTCACCGTGCAGCGAGACTCGTGAATCAACTCGTGAATAAACTCCATTGCTGACGCACACGTGCGCTACGGGCTTGTTGTGGGAGATCAGACGCGGCGTCCTGCAAATGCATCCTCGGTGGCGTTGTCAAGTGACACGTCGACACGGCGTTGGTCGGGTTTGTATGGGTGTTGGGCCGTTGTGTAACTGTGTGATGTAATGCTCTCCCATGTGTTCACAAGGCCAGTGGCAAAAGTGTGTCAGCGATTTACATGACTATGAGGATGTCGTCGTACATCCCGGACTCCCTTGTGGTCGCAGCTGGCCTTTGTTCCTATTGTGCAGCCCATGTCGCTGCGTATGTCGTACACTGTATGGGATTTCTCTTTCTATCTTTGGCCTGCGTTGTTTTCACCCCACCCAAAACACACAAGCAAGCTCCAAAAGGACGCACCGTTGAGATGGTTTGTTTGTTCTTGTGATCTGCAGGAGTTTGCCGTGTTGACGAAAGAGCTCAACGTTTGCCGGGAGCAGCTTCTGGAGAGGGAGGAGGAGATTGCTGAGCTCAAGGCGGAGAGAAACAACACGCGTGTAAGATGTCAAGGAGCCCTTCGGCCTTCACTCTCAAAACGGTTGGGTCAAAAATAACCCCGTCTGCCTTCATTTGAACACCAATGACTGGGTCACCGATGCACACTCGGGTCAATTGGAAGCACCCGTTGGGTTATTCCTTTGAGCCGACCGCACAATGTACGCTTGAAGTTTTTTAGATGCGCGCATGAACTCAACAAGGGGACTCAAGACAAATCCAAGAACCGGGTTGATAAATAACCCGGCTGTTTTTTTGGCAGCGTTTTAGCACAGTGTCATCTTTCTCACCTGTTGTGGTCGGGACACCGATGGACTTGGTTGCTCCATGTCCTTTTTCTGCTGCGTCCTTCGTCCGTTTGGCTTTTTCCCCTCATCTTCTCCTCACTCCGACAGTTGCTGCTGGAGCACCTGGAATGCTTAGTGTCACGTCACGAGCGCAGTTTGAGGATGACTGTGGTCAAGAGGCAAGCCCAGTCGCCGGCGGGGGTCTCCAGTGAGGTGGAAGTCCTCAAGGCCCTCAAGTCTCTCTTTGAGCACCACAAGGCTTTGGATGAGAAGGTACCTCAAATCAGCAAAGCTCTGACATTGAGACTTACAGCACTTTGACTGAAAAAGAAAGCAGAAGCAAAATTTGGAAAAACACAAAACGTGGAAGAGACGCTCGCGGTCGGTCACACATGCAAGGATTTGTCGGTCACCTCGGTATTTGGATGGGGTCCAGAAAGAGCTCAACGTTTGCCGGGAGCAGCTTCTGGAGAGGGAGGAGGAGATTGCTGAGCTCAAGGCGGAGAGAAACAACACGCGTGTAAGATGTCAAGGAGCCCTTCGGCCTTCACTCTCAAAACGGTTGGGTCAAAAATAACCCCGTCTGCCTTCATTTGAACACCAATGACTGGGTCACCGATGCACACTCGGGTCAATTGGAAGCACCCGTTGGGTTATTCCTTTGAGCCGACCGCACAATGTACGCTTGAAGTTTTTTAGATGCGCGCATGAACTCAACAAGGGGACTCAAGACAAATCCAAGAACCGGGTTGATAAATAACCCGGCTGTTTTTTTGGCAGCGTTTTAGCACAGTGTCATCTTTCTCACCTGTTGTGGTCGGGACACCGATGGACTTGGTTGCTCCATGTCCTTTTTCTGCTGCGTCCTTCGTCCGTTTGGCTTTTTCCCCTCATCTTCTCCTCACTCCGACAGTTGCTGCTGGAGCACCTGGAATGCTTAGTGTCACGTCACGAGCGCAGTTTGAGGATGACTGTGGTCAAGAGGCAAGCCCAGTCGCCGGCGGGGGTCTCCAGTGAGGTGGAAGTCCTCAAGGCCCTCAAGTCTCTCTTTGAGCACCACAAGGCTTTGGATGAGAAGGTACCTCAAATCAGCAAAGCTCTGACATTGAGACTTACAGCACTTTGACTGAAAAAGAAAGCAGAAGCAAAATTTGGAAAAACACAAAACGTGGAAGAGACGCTCGCGGTCGGTCACACATGCAAGGATTTGTCGGTCACCTCGGTATTTGGATGGGGTCCAAAGTTTGGGCGTCCGCCGTCCCACAATTCCTTTTTTGCCCGCCTGTCTTCTCATCCATGACAAAAGCAAACGAATGAGCCCAAATGAAGACCGAAGCCGACACCACCACTGTCCTCTCCTGCAGGTTAGAGAGCGTCTCCGAGTGGCCCTCGAGAGGGTGTCCATGTTGGAGGATCAACTAGCAGCGTCTTCTCAAGAGGTAAAGTCACATCAATTTGCCTCCCTCCGTGATATGTTCACTCCTTGTGACAATATAACGTTGACAGTTGTCCGCTGGCCTGCTTTGTGTCCTCCTTTCTAGGTAATCTCTTTAAGAGACCAAATTAAAAGGCGTCAACAAGGGGTGGACGGCGGGAAAGATGTAAGGGAGGGTTTTATGGATGTTGGTTCCAGTTTTTCTGTTTTGTCTCTGTACACGTGTTACCCGTGACCCAAAGTCAAGTAGAAAAGTCGTTGCACAGTCTGGGTACCATGAGTGCGACTTCTACTTCTCAGCAAATATTGCATTCCCAGCACCGTCCTCACTCTTGTTTTTGGCCACCTCAGCGACTGCCCAACGGACCCGCGTCGGGCCTAGAGGACGGCGAGCTGGAGAGGCAGCGGGAGGTCGAAATAGAGCGTCAGAGAGCCGAACTGTCCCAGCTAAGAGAGAGGCTGGCCCTCATGTGCCGGCAGGTGAGCAGATGCAGATGGCTATAATTCCGATCTTCATCTCCTTTTAAGCTTCGAGGCCACTTCTCTTGCTTGCCATAGCGGAATTTCAAGTTGGATGCGCTCCACTTTGACTTCCGTGACAAGTGTAGTCCATCACCCAAGCACTCGATCGCGGTCAAACAATTTACGTCCCGGTCGCATGTTCGCGTCGCTGTTCGCTCCGTCTTCCCATACAGTCTCTTACCGTGCCGACTTGGCAGCGACTCCGCAACATGCTTAGCCGTGCTAGCGAGCCAGCCGAAGCTCGCTGCGAGCCAGCCGGTGTGGCGTAAATAGCACCGAGCTGGCCTCGACCTCCTACTACATGCATCGAGGCGACGGAAGCGCGTTGCACTACATTAGCGCGCGTGCGTCAAAAGCAGCCAGCTTTTTGGGACCGCCGTACCGTTATTGGAAAAAAAAATGTACAAATCGGCGAGTCTCAATTTTGCGATTCAGTGTGTTTTGATGAGGCGCAAAAAGCCAGTTTTGACTTGCAAAACCACTTAGTTGGAGCCTTTCGGTCACACCGAGGAATGGTGTCTTGGTCGGGGGCTTGAATTTGCACGTGGTGGATGTGAAAGGTCTCGCCAAAGCTATCAAGTGACGCGCTCTCGGAATGAGCGTCTTGGTGGTGCGACCCGCTCAAGTCGGCGTGTTAAGCCTGCGTCGCCGGTTATTTGGAACGAATCGCAGACTCACCTCGGTTATCGCCCCGTGGCCATTTGTGGCGTCTCGCCAGGTTGGGGAAATAGAGGAGCAGCTTGCGGGCGCCAGGAGGGAGGTGACCAAGTCGGAGGAGGCCAATCAGAAGCTCCAACGGGAAGTCAAAGAGGTGTGTTGAGCTCCTTTCACTGCAGGGGCTCCCAGCGTATAGCCTAACAGGATGGGCAGACGGTAGGCCATTGAGAAGCTCATGTTTGAGGTTACATCACTCTTTGCAAGGAGACATACTGTGCATTTTACTCACAGCTACAAATATTTGCCTTAAGAGCTAACGCATCTGCGACATGCTTCGATCAGAATACCCCCAGGATCACGAGTGACAGCATGCCAACACCCTCTCATTGTGTGTCAAATTTTAGGTTTAATGGCTTGACCTGAAAGCACCGGGGGGGGGGGGGGAATTCTGTGACGCGAGACAAACTTGGAAAACAGTCCACTGCCACCAGAACCCGACATACCAGCATGTGTGCCGTACATCTCTTCCTCTTTCAGGCCCTTTGCCAAAGGGAGGACATGGAGGAAAGGATTACCACACTGGAACGCAGGTAACCGGTATTGACATTCGCTTTCACGGGCAGCCCCACAAAATTGGAAGCACAGAATTGTCCAAAGTGTTTTGCTAAGATCCAGATAGAGCCTCTCCACACGATGCGGTTACATTCGTGTCTGTCGCGGTGGTGCGCAGGTACCTGAGTGCCCAAAGGGAGGCCACTTCCCTCCACGACATCAAGGACAAGCTGGAAAACGAGCTGGCCAGCAAGGAGTCCCTCCATAGGCAAAGTGAAGAGAAGAACCGACAACTGCAGGAGCGTCTGGATGAAGCCAAGCAGAAGCTCCAGCAAACCCTGCAAAGAGCCGAGACGCTGCCCGAGATCGAAGCGCAGCTCGCGCAGAGGGTCGCTGCGCTCAACAAGGTACAGAGGAGCCATCTTGACGCTGGAACCGCTCTTAGACTTTACTCATAGCTTTTGTCGGGTGATCAAACTCTGGCAGTGGGGAGAAAAAAAAAATCTAGTCACTGGGGTTATCGCCTCAATGCGGACAATTTAGTCCCTTTGAGAGCAGATCAAACGCACAAGCGATTTTCTGACTGAAGCCTTCTTTTAAGGCGGAGGAGCGCCACGGTAACTTTGAGGAGCGACTACGGCAAATGGAAGCTCACCTCGAAGAGAAGAACCAAGAGCTACAAAGAGTATATATCGTGTTGCCGCATCGATACTGTCAGACGATCAAAACGGGTTTGCTGTCCAGTCACACGCAGCTTCTGCTTGGTCCAATCAGGCGAGGCAGAGGGAAAAAATGAATGACGAACACAACAAACGGCTCTCAGATACCGTCGACAAACTTCTGTCCGAGTCCAACGAGAGACTGCAGCTGCATCTGAAAGAGAGGATGGCAGCGCTGGAAGAAAAGGTAATCCAACAAACGCTTTGGCGGCACGAACAAGTATGTACCGAGGACGTATTTCCTTCGCTTACCTTCTAGAATGCTCTCTCAGAAGAACTGGCCAATATGAAGAAAATCCAGGATGACCTTCTGGCGAATAAGGTACTCAGCTGTCATGTTTCAGGTGTTTTGCAAATCTGAACTGGACGCTCAACGTTCTTGCTGAGAAAAGCGGGAATCTCCAAGACGATGTCTCCAACTTTCTCCTCTGTGTTCCAGGAGCAGCTCCTTGCTGAGCTGGAGCGGATCCAACTGGAACTGGACCAGCTGAGGGGCCGGCCTGGCTCATCTTATTCCAGGTTCGTCGTCACGATCCCCGGAGAGAAAAAGAAAAAGGGCGTGGCGGCGTTGATTTCGACCACAATCGGCCGCTAGCGGCTAACGTATTGGCTGGACGCATTCGAAGCGAGGAGTACGATGAAATGACAGGAGAATTCCGGGTCTCACTGTAGGGCGGGCAGCGTGAGCTCCCTTCCATCCACCTTGTTTCGAAGATCTCTTCCGGGGAGCGCCTCGGAGCTGCGCTACCCCCAGGGCGGGGGCTCCCTGCCGGCCGGCTACAGCAGCTCCTCCGGCGGGGCGGTGGTCAGGCGCACTCACTGCGGCCGCTGGGGGCAAGCTAGGGACGACTGTAACAAGGTGGTCGCCTCACGTTGAGATGACGACATCTTGACACATGGGTTCTTTGCGCTCCTCACTTCGCCGCTTCTCTCCTTGCAGTACGGCGAATGGGACGCCGGCACCGCGATGGGTCCAGGCTTTGAGGGCGTGGAGGGCGTGGGCTCTGATGACGAAGATGACAGGGAGACTCTCTTTGGCTCGGAGCTGCTATCTCCGAGCGGCGGGCAGACAGATGTCCAGACTTTGGCCATTATGCTCCAGGAGCAACTGGAGGCCATCAACAAGGAGATCAAGTACGCGGCTTCGAACAGCCCCGATCGGGGACCGATGTGACATGCCGGCGGCATCCCGGAGACGCCGTCTCATTGCTCTTTGCGATGGTCCTCTCAGGCTCATCCAGGAGGAGAAGGAGAGCACCGAGTTGAGGGCGGAGGAGATCGAGAGTCGGGTGAGCAGCGTGGCCCTAGACGCGCCCTCTTCACTCGGAGGACGGGACAGTGTCGGTCGGGGATACATGACGCCCTCCATCACATCCTCCACGCTGGCGTCTCCCTCACCGCCGAGCTCTGGCCGCTCCACCCCCTGCCTGCCGCATTCTCCCGCCAGGGAGAACGAGCGACAGGTACAAAGAAAAAACTGGCTCTGTCGTCGCGAGGACCGACGTTCCCAATGCAACGAACTCTTCCCCCGTGCAGAACAGCAAAGAGGGCGAAGAATGCCGAGCGCTAGCCGTGATCGATTCCCACCCTCCCGCTGTCCCTCGAGCGCTGCGACTGGAGCGAATGACGCACACTCACCCGGGAGCGGGCCTCGACGATCACCGGGAATTTCGCAGGTAAGAAATGCGGACTCCTTGACACGCTTGCCTTGCGTACAGAAGGCCTTGCGCTGACTTCACCGCTGTCTTTCTTCGATACTTGAAGTCTATCGGCCGACGGGGCCATCACCGCCAGCCAGGATTCCCTCCACAAAGCCAGCAAAAAGAAAAGCATCAAGTCCTCCATCGGCCGTCTCTTTGGGAAAAAGGAAAAGGGGAGGATGGGTGCGCCTGGACGCGAGTCCCCCTCTTTGGGTGGGTGTCTTCGCGGACAACGTTGCGCCCGTTTGTTTCTTTTGCTTTGGTCTTGGCAATTGAACATTCTATCTGCAAACAATCCAGCCTCAACACCGTCAGACGACTTGGGCCCAGCAGACCCGTTGGCACTGGCTAAACTCGGTACTGGGACAGTAGAAAAAGACCGTCGAAGCAAAAAGAAGTGAGATGTTTTTTTTTCCTCCCTTCCCACCACCAAATCACGTTCTCTTCTAAAATCGGCAGAGGACTTTTCGATGTTCCACTTTTAACGTTGCATTCCCTTGCCAGGCATGACCTGCTTGAGGAGGCTTGTCGTCAGGGTTTGCCTTTTGCCTCATGGGATGGTCCAACGGTTGTCACGTGGCTTGAGGTATGCTTCTTGTCACCCGATAGTTTGTATGGCCGAGCCAACGTTTGTGTCGTTTACGCAGTTGTGGGTAGGAATGCCGGCATGGTACGTTGCAGCGTGCCGCGCCAACGTGAAGAGCGGCGCCATCATGGCCAACCTATCGGACACGGAGATCCAGCGGGAGATTGGCATCAGCAACCCGCTGCACAGGCTCAAACTCCGCCTGGCCATCCAGGAAATGGTTTCCCTCACCAGCCCGTCTGCGCCGGCGAGCACGCGCTCCGTAAGACTTCCGCACACTACCTCAAACGCGAAGTCGCTGTCAAGAGAGCGAGGGCTCATTTGGACTTCATTGCAGTCGACCAGCAATATCTGGATGACACATGCAGAAATGGAGTCACTCGCTGCTGCCACGAAACCAGTAAGACTGATTTTACGTTGATGTCAAGTTCCGAGCAAACGCTTGTGATTGAACAAATTAGGTTGCTCCAGTCTGGGGGTGTTCAAAACCAGTGCCCGAGGGCCCCCCTCCTCCAACGGGCCTGATTCAAATGATCGGCAAGTTCTGATTCGATGAATCGGGTCTGTTAGAGGAGGAAAACATGCAGCCCGCGGGACCAGAGTTGGACACCATTCTGCCAGAATATCGTTGGAGTGTCATCAAGTTGACTTTTTTTTTTTTTTTGGTTTTGTTTTGTCCCCCCTCACCCCCCACCTTCTTCTTTTTCTTTTATTAGGCCTGTTTGGCTCCACCTTCCCTTCCCTGGTCCCTTCAAATCTGTGCTGATGTCGTGTTTTGTTCCAACTAATTCTCACTAACAAAAACGTTTCCTTCTTCTGCCTTCCCTCTCCTCAAATGGTTTTCACCCTAACGCGCACACCAACGCACACATTTCCTCCGTGCACCTTTCCATCTCGCTTCTCTTTTCCGACTTCCCCGTCTCAAACCGCCAAGGAGCAGAAAGAGTTCAGCTGGGATCAGGTGAGTTCAAGAGCTCAACGTCGAGAAGGTGCCATTCTTTCAGTTGTGTCCCGACGCCACGAAAACATGTCGGGATAGGAGTCTTGTAGGTGTGGTTATTGCCGTTTGCCATCTCCAGATCCTGGCTTACGGTGATATGAACCACGAATGGGTAGGAAATGAGTGGCTGCCCAGTTTAGGTTTGCCCCAGTATCGCTCCTACTTCATGGAGTCACTGGTGGACGCCCGGATGCTCGATCACCTCACCAAGAAGGAGTTGAGGGGCCAGCTTAAGATGGTGGACAGTTTCCACAGGTGAATTCTTGTCGGGTCTCCGGAGGCTTCTCGGCCCGTTTGTTCTTCACCCGCGCACTCTGAATTTGCCTAGGGTGAGCCTTCACTATGGCATCATGTGCCTGAAGCGCTTGAACTACGACCGCAAGGAGCTGGAGAGGCGGAGGGAGGAGAGTCAGCATCGGCACCAAGGTGACGAGGGCGCGCTTCTCTGGCCGCAATCCGCCTTGGTCCGCCACGTGCGTCCATCTGAACCTGTGCCCCTCCTCAGACGTGATGGTGTGGTCCAACGAGCGCGTGATGTGCTGGGTGCAGTCCGTCGGCCTCAAAGAGTTTGCAGACAATCTGTTAGAAAGCGGAGTTCACGGGGCCCTGCTGGCTCTCGACGACACCTTTGACTACACCGACTTGGCCCTTCTCCTCCAGATACCCAATCAGAACACGCAGGTATGCTCTTCTCTGTCTCAGAGCGCATCCATTTTAGACCGTGAGAAACGGTCTCTCCTTCAAGGGCCACGTCATCTCATGGCCTCGGTTTGCAGGCAAGGCAGCTCTTGGAAAAGGAGTACAATGCTCTCATCTCCATGGGAACGGAGAGGAGGCCAGAGGAGGTACTGCCCGTAGCAGACTCACGTGAGATGACGTGTTGATTTTCACTCCCTCCGTTCCGCTTGCGGCGTGTGCGCATTGACGCAACAGACGGCACCCGATCCACCCTCCCCATGCGACGGGGGAGGCCGCGACAGTTCATGACTGCAGTTACCACAGCGTGTCTTCGTAGGACGGCACCAAACCTTTCACGCGCTCACCCTCGTGGAGAAAGATGTTCCGGGAGAAAGACCTCCGAGGCGTGACCTCCGACTCTTCGGAAACGCTCCCGGCCAACTTCCGCGCCTCCGCGATCTCCACCCCTTCGGTCACCCTGAGGAAAGTCCAGAGTGAAGGTGAGGAAAGGGGCTGAAAACGTCACCATCTCAAATGATTTGGTCAATGAACCGACGGAGCCACGCCAGTGTTTCAAGCTTTCGGCTTAAATCACAGCAAAGCGAGAAGTGCCGGATAGTTGAGAATTAACGTCACTACCTTCTCGCCGACAGTGAACTCGGGTCAAAGAGGGGAGTCGGCCTCGGTGAGGACATATTCCTGCTGAGGACAAAAGCACATGAGGTGAGAGCACTTTTCCCGTCGTCATCCCCGACGGAGGCCAAGCTTACACTGCGGCGCGTCCCCAGCCCATCACTTTGCAGACCTCCACCACCATCCCGACCTGAGGAAAGAGACAGAAAGCGGTGGTGGACGACATCAGAGTCGTCGGACATCTCCAAGACGCTTGAGCGAGCGGGCTCAAGATCATTCTCGTGAACGGATGGACGCCTTTGCAGTCATCGCCGTCTTTTTCTCTCAATCCATTGTTGTGGCATGATGCTGATGTTTGATTCTGTCGAAAGCGACCAACGCCTGTTGTGACTTCCACTTCTGTTTTTTTGGAGTGTGCAATGGCAACACTGACACACTGAACTCATCGTTTTGTGCGGGAAAATCCACTCACATTCTTTGGGGCGAATTGCAGAACAAGTTGATCAACAAGAAGCAACTGTTAGGAAGTTGACAGTGTAGTGCGTTTTTTTTTAATTTTTTGGGTGGTAAAACGTATGTTCCGAAGCCATAAATTATCGGTGAGAGGCACAAATGTGAGCGGGACAGACAACGAAATCATGAGCAAAGTGCGGAAAATAAGAGGTGACGCATTTGTGTTCGTATGCATGCCAAAATCAACCATTTTAGAGTTTGTCATCTAATGATGTGGAAGCTTGGATGTAAGAACTTTGTAAAACGTGTGCATTTTTTTTTTAATGACAATTGTTATTGTATGTATGTACAGTATGTGTGCGTATAAACCGATATGTTCATTTCATACTTTTCAGATGGATGGTAACTTCATTTGAGTTTCAAAACATAGCGTTTTAAAATGATGGACAGTCAAGATATGCTACTTGTATGTGTACATTTTGGAAAAACAAATTGTCTTATGGGTTTTACTGGAGAATAGTGATGGTAATTGAATATTACATGAAACAAATCATGAAAATGATTGTAAAAGCTGTAATTAAAACAAACAAACAAACAAAAATGTACGAGGCTTCTGAAAGTGATTTGACTGCCTCTTAATTTCCGGCTGGAGTTAGCTACCAGGAGGAGTCCGTTTTAGAGCCACTTTCAGGTTAATTCACCATCGCGTTAAGAAATCCACTTCTGGCAATGGGTAGACGTTTAATGTCTGTTTTGTTTTTTAAAGTCAAGCTTATGAGAGAAACAGCGTCAGCGCAGACAAAACACTGAGGACAACGTTGCCACTCATAGGCAAGAAGGGGCCATTGCGTGGAACGCGGAACCGAGTGAACAAACGCAAGCGAACACGGAGCCAGCCGGAGACGATATTCAGTTATCAAAGGGATGTAAACGGACATCAATATTTTGGACACTTTTATTGGGTGCGACCTGAATATATAGCCCTGGGAGGGCAGAATGGGTCTTAAAACTGTCTCCCAAACTCTTTGGTAATTTCTGCTATGTCGTCTTTGGAACGTAACGTTTTAATGATAACCTAACGTCATGCACGAGTCACTCTTCCTTCTCGGAACCAGGCGCCACATTCACAATGTATCAACAACTCCTCAAGCCCTTCAAGAGCTAAAAAATTTCAAGAACTCAATTTAAAAAAAAAAAAAAAAACATTTGGTGGAAAAAAATGTTCTCTTTTTTTCATGCTTGACTTATGAAATAACGCCGACAAAAATGCTGTCTGCGGCAAAAGGTGACATCCAATCATTGAAGAGAGGACTCTCTTATTGGGACAGAATGTTTTTTTTTTTTTTTTTTAATCAAAACAAACATTGTCATCTATGGAACACTGCATTTCATGATACAGTGCATTATTTTAGCACCATCTAAAAAACTTGACGGCATGGACTTTTTTCCCTTGTTGTTTTACTACTTTTGGCTGGAGGCTCTCAAACTTTGTACACCAAGCGCGGCCTCAACAAATACCGAGAAATCATTCTTCATGTCCCTCGATGATGACCAACAGTAAAATACATTGGCGTCGTGGACCTGAATGTTAACGACGAGGAGAGGATTATAATTTTGTTTTTTTCGTGACTATTTCTAAAAAGTACAACTCCAATCAAAAGTTTGGAGACAAAAGTGCAAGACAACTGAAGCTTAGCCAGTGATTCTCAAATATACCACAAGAGGGAGACCATGTGGCACCAGCAGTACTCGTTTTGTTTCAGCGTGCTTTAAGAATCACCGCCTAAGGGCCACCTGGTCTAAAGTGCCAAGATAATAACCCCAAATCGACATGGCGCAGAATTAAATTTGGTTTGGGTTACACCACACTGGACTAATTAGAAGCCCAAGGAAATGTTTGTTTGACGGATGACGCAACGATAAGTTCTTTGGAATGCTATTCAAATCCTCGCGCACCAAGGCGCGTCACTGTCTTTTATGCTCTTTGGCATTTGAATGGAGGTGACGGTTTACAAGAAGGTCCGTTTACCGGCAGACCTGCAAGTCATTGCACAGCTGCGCTCACGTAAACACCGTTTGCTCTCGTGCTCATGAATCCTTTCGCCCACTCTTCCTCTCTAAAACAAACAGCCATCAAACTAAGATAAACGCGCACCAAGTTAAAAACGCCATTGGACGTCTTGTAATCGATGCAGAGGATGACGCAGTGGGATGCGTTTGTTTTGTCCACTTTTTGGGGGGGGCAGGGGGGGATACAGGAAACACAATGCGGTCGACGGTAAATGAAATGGCTCGTGACAAAGGAAAAATAGGGAGACGCTTAGACTCGATTCATTTGAATAATAGACGGGCACCGATGTACTAGTCAAGTGCGGGACAGGAACTGTTGCAAAAGATTCGATTTAATTCCTTCCATCCATCAAAGCCAAATGTCATAGATTGCATTCTTTTGAAGGAATGTCAGAAATTGTCCAAATAGCAAACATTCCAAAGTTTCATTTCATTCTGCTTCAGAAAATGTGGGAGGAAAGAATGAAAACCCAGTGTGACGTCACTGGCAATTCGACTTTTTTGAACGCATTGCATTAAAGAGAAAGGAAGAAAACAAGGAAGAGGGCCATATATAGTCGGAGAAGTTCCACTGACACTTTAAATGTCTGAGTCACGAAGACAACCCTCCTTCTCCGGCTCCTTTATAAACGGCGCCAACTTCTTTCGAATTAGCACAACGCAACTTGCTTGACAGGAGCCTGAATAGTTCTTATTTAAGTTCACTCATTTTGGCAGGCTTTTTTTCCTTTGGAATTTATTTATTTGTTATTTTTGTATTTATTGTCATCATTGTATTCATCAGGTACCCGTCTAAAATATCTGGAACATCATTTTGTTGTTGTCTCCAAATGTTTTGGTTAGCAAACAAGACTTTGGGGTGTTTTTTCCTCCTGGCAATCCTCCTTCCTGCCTCTCTGTCTTTCTACCTTGCCGACTCCAACCCACTTTTAGCTTTTCACAGCCAAGTCAGGGAGGGCCATCTTTACACAGGTGCGGTCGTTCAAATGAGATCCTCGGGTCCAATTGAAGACCGAACGTGGTATGTTGACTGATATTTTTCTTTTACAGAAAATCACAGACGAGGGATGTACCTGCAGATCAGCCAGGACGGAAGCGTGTCCGGAAGCGACGTGCAGACCCCTTTCAGTGAGTGTTGAGTTTGTTTGTTTTTTTGCCGAGAATCTTAATAGGCAAGCACAGTGGGGTAGTGGCTGGCACTTCTGCCTCACAGCTCAGCGGTTCAGGGTTGGAATCTCTGCTCCGACCTTCCTTGGTGGAAACGGCATGTTCTTCCCATGCTCTGCTAGTTAAGCCTGCTTACTTCCATTTCCCAAAAACATGCACGTTCCGTTCAAACTTGTTGGGTGCTCCGCTGTAACAAACCAAAATAAATAAATCCATAAATAACAATAAAAACCACAAAGTGTATTTGTTTGGGCTAAAAGAGTCATTTGCGTCAGAACAACTTCAAAACACGAATGACAGTGTTGGCAAGCAAATTGCTTTTTTCTGACTTGTTTGTACTTTCTTTTTCAAGAACTATAAGTTGGGGGATCATGCGGAGGACAATTTGTTCTGTCAACTCATATTTCTTTGTCGTGAAATGCTGGAAAGACAATTTTTTTTTTTTTTTTTTTAACAAAACTTCAAATATTTTGTTCAATCGCTCAACTTACAATTTGGAATTCATCCAACTTTTGATTTTATGGAGTACAAAGGTGAATTAAAATGCTACATTCTTAAATTTACAGAACGACGCAAGTGTGTCCAAAACGTCGACGAGCTTCACCCTATCAACCTGTCCGAGTCCCATCTTCGACCCGTTCTGCTTGGTCAAAAATAATGAACACAGCATTAGGTACAAAAAAACAGATCTGCTCAAAAACCACAACGGTGGGTTGGCAAAACAAACAAGCACTTCTAGTGCGTAGAAATTCCAAGACAAAGATAGAAATGAAAACAGCAGTGTAAAAAAACAAAAATACTGAGTGTACTCTATGCAATATTTTACTTACCAACTGTCTTTCATTAAAAAAATTAATAAAAATGGTGAAATCATGGCAAAAACTAGATGAGTGGATGAATTGTAATCATTCAAGGTCTTCATGTTTGTTCATAGTGTGGTTGAATATTTCCAGGTGTGCTGCAGTTACAGTCGGTGCAAGCCGGCCACATCGCCATCAAAGGTCAGAGGTCGTCTCTGTTTCTGTGCACCGACAGCGGGGGCTCCCTGAGGGGGCAGGTAAGCGGAGTGGGGTGGGAGAGGGGAGTGTGTCTGGACAAGAATCATCTGTCAAGAAACATCAAAAGTCAATCAAGGCAACGGGAATCCAAAAGAATTTTCCAAATTTGAGCTGTGGAGTCCGCTCATTTTTGCCTCTGGTGCTTGTATTCCCCCAGGCAGCGTCCATTTTGCAGACCAAAACCTCATTGACATGCTT